ACATGCTGGACATCCGGGTCGTGTTACGTTGCTACGCTGGATATGGAGACATTATTATTGGCAGCATATGGATAAGACCGTGAGGCGTATTAATGATCACTGTGTTGGTTGCCAGAGTCGTCGTATTGCTGCCAACCGCCGTCGTGCACTTTCATCGCGTCCTCCACCATGTAGTGTCCAGTATGGTCCCTTTGCCATCGCATATTTTGATAGTATCGGTCCTTATAAGTTATGTCGGTCTGAGGAGTCGAGTGGTACTATACCTCCCTTGTATGCATTTACTCTCTGTTGCCACTCTAGTAAGTTTATCAAAGTTGTTCCCTCTGATACTAAGTCAGGCTGGGCTGCAGCACAAGCCCTTCATCAGATGCTCTGTGATGAAGGTGTGGTTAGACTTTTAGTTGTCGATCAAGGTCTACTGACGAAAGAAGTGGTTGGTGTTGCCAAGGATTGGAATTTTATGGTTATCCCGTCACCACCTCGGGGGGAGGAACTCCGTGGATGGGGTGAACGAGGCCATCGAGATCTTCATGCTGTGCTTCGTGGTGCGCTTTGGAGCCTTGGTAAGACTCCTACGAGGAACGAGTTCATACGTTTGCTGTCCCGTGCAACAGCTGTGGTTAATACTACTCCGTACGTCGACTCTTCACCACTCTCTCCAGCTATCGTTTGTCGTGGTCATACGAGAACTCCATCAGATCCGTTTGCTTTACAGGAGTCTCGTGAGATTAAGGATGCTGTTCTAGAAGGGTTAGAACCACCAAGTTGGTGGGATGATATGACTGCTGATGCCTATATGAGTGAAGTTCAAGATGGTAAAGATATAACCCTTCGAGAGTTGGCTGATGTTTGGTGGTTGCGTCGACGTGCTGTTCGCGAAAAGTTGTTGTCTCGTAACGCTCGTCATGCTGGTCGTGGGTTAAAGGTTGGTTGTAAGGCATATCGTTGGAGGCCTATGATCGGTCAGTTTGGTAAACTTAATACTGGCTGGGAACCATGCACTATTCTCGCTGCCCCAACGGATAGTACAAGGAAGGTTAAACTTGAAGATGGCAAGGAAACTATTGAGTCTGTTCTGAATCTACGTGCTGGTCCTAGTGACTAGCACGGGCGGGAGTGTGCTGGATTCAGCATGTATGGATTTTGATAATGAGTAGTTAGAATGTTGTAGTCACTCGAAGACACAAAAGATTGTCCTCCATAATTGTCTTATAATTGTGATGTAGCTGTGTATCTAGCGTCAAGCTAGTATGTTAGTCTGTTACGATTGAATTTCCATAGACCTTTTAAGCTGTTATCAATCTTACGTTCTACGTGAGATCAGACGGTGTTTCGTTAACTCAAAGGATATTGGAAACCCGTCATAATAACACTCCTATCTGAGCTGTGAACTTCCGGGTGGGAATGTGCTAGTCGAATATTGGGATTTGCGAACAGAGTGTATCGAAATCTTAATGAGATTGCGTTGAAGTGTTGAAAGTTCTTGACATTTTTCATAGCATTTTGTGACTCTAACGGTGTGGGAAAATATGGACATGATCAACTACGTGTGTAGGTAACATTCGCGGAAACTCTGAGGAAAATTGGCTCTCTACACTTGTACCGAATTTGTATGTAACTTTCTATAGTTAGTGAGGGAATTTCTGGGCTGAGCTAAGGGAAGCGAACATATATTCCAACACTGGTATTTAGTGACGTCATGGATCATCAATCCGCCGCTTCGGAAAGGTCACCATGTTCAGTGTTACTTGGATGATATACTAGAACTCAGTACTAGAATATATGTTCGCACTCCTCACGTGATCTCA